CTGATGTTGTGCTTCTGGCATGAACCACTGTTTGTTTGGGAGACAGAGGTTTTTAATCTCCTCACATTCCTGTCGATAACTTTGCTGCGTATTAAGCTTCTCCAACGTGGATCGCCTGAACTTCTCATCGGCGCGAAGAATGACTTGGGCAGCTTTTGAACCGCGAACAGTCGATCTGTCCTATAAGATTGTGAAGTGAAATCAAGGTCGACCAATGAATGAACAAGCAGGCCTCGCCAAGAACTCATGGCATTGAACGCTTCCATGAGGCTTGCATGAACGTTTCCACCAACACCCTGCTGTGAGGCAAGAACTGCCGTTCCTGGTGATCGACGTGAGCAAACTTCATGCAAACCGGTTCACGAACAGAACACTGAAGCGATCTACCTCGTAGTCCCCAGCGAGGCTGTTCACACGCCATCGCAATCCGGGGAAGTTTCACTAGACCAGAAGCAACGGAGACGGATTTTGAGGGAATTGATAGTCGGGTATATCGTTTATTGAAACTCGTTAGCCCCCACAAGGAGCGAGACACCTAGAGGATATCTTGGCACCAGTGATGTACATATCAAACGCCCATCAAGGACTTTCTTTCTTTACCTCCCTATCGTATCGTCCGCTCGAGATGAGAAAATAAAAAAGGAAATCGCTCGGATATTCATGCAGGATAGCTCAAAAGAAACACAAGAAGGCCGCAAGTGCGTTGGCGGAAAGAATGATAAGACGTTGAAAAATAAAAATGATTGGGTATCGGCGCTACCGGAAACCTCCCTGGGCGCCACCGTTGTTGAAGTATCCCTGATTCGCGCCTCCATAACCGCCATTGTTGTAGCCTTGCTGCGCGCCGAATCCATGGTCGCTGTATCCATGCGAAGGCGGGCTCATCGGCGGGGGAGGGCTTTGTTGGCCGTCAGGTGAGCCGAGGCGAGAGTAACCTCCTTGCGATGCGCTACGGCTCGGGGCCATAGGCAGGGGACCCGAAGGCGGCATTCCAGGGCTTTGGGTACGCAAGGGAGACATGAGCTGGCCGTGGCCATTCGGGTTGTCGCTATATGATCGCATGCCAGCTGCAGCACCAACCCCAGCGGCGCCCGCGGCCATGGGCGCGGCACCCCACGCGCCCTTTTCCTGAGATGCCGGGATGCTGTATGTGTTCTCCTGGACCATGCCGTTCTTGCTGAATGCGCCAGCATTGTACTCGGTGCCTGTCGCGCCAGCAAACGAGTCAGGGTCGACGCCGCGCTTGTGGAAGCCCTCAAGTTCGAGACGCTCTTCTTCGGCTCTCTTGGCGGCAAGGCTTGCCTCGTTGGCACCACGTCTACGCTGGCGGATGAAGTACCAGAGACCAAAGGCAATCAGAGCACAGCCTACGCCGACACCTCCAGCATATACAGCCGTTTTGGCGGTTGGGCTGAGCTCGTTGAACTTTTCGCTCACAGACTTGCTAGGTTCCTCCAGAAGAGCTTCCTTGACAGTTGAGTTGCCGCTGAGATTTGAGGTTAGCATGGGCTCGGTTGTCGTGCAACAGTCCAACGAGTGCGACTTACGCAGCAATTTTGATGCTCTCCCAGGAGCCCGTCTTGTCTCCAAAAGAGTACTCCTTTCCGGAGCTGTAGTCCGTCACCTGCGCAGACTTGACATACATGGTGTACGGTCCGGCGGCGTAATCGGTGTCACCTCCAGCCCATTCTCTAGTACCCGCAGCCATGCGGGGATCTCCACCAGCCCAGATACCGAGACTGAGGCGCATGGGAGTCTGGGGATAGGCCAGGGAGTTGTTGGCGTCCTTGGGGAGAAGAGTGCGAACGTTGTTGCCGTCGACCCACCACTCGAGCTTCTCCTTGGTCCACACGCAGGTATAGTTGTGAAAGTCGTCCTGGATGCTACCCGTCACAGGGTGCTCGGCACCGTTGTGCCAGTCCTGAACACCTTTGCCGAAAAAGTTGCTCAAGGCGTCGTTCTTTATTCCAAGGAATTCCCAATCAACCTCGTCCAAGGTGTCGCTGAGCCACATCATAGAGCTCACAATGCCCTTTCCCTTGGCGGCCCTCATGTGGATCTCAGTACGGCCCCAGAAGAAGTAAAACTTGGATCGAATTGTCGGAGAGTCGCCTTGCTTGCTAATCGTGAATTCCGCGCCATTGTCCGAGGTGTACGTAACGGGGCCAACAGTGGTTTCCCAGGCATCAGTCGAGGGAGTAGAGTTGAAGTTGAAGTTGAAGTCCATGCCAAAAGCCGGGTCGGCAGGACAGGTCGTGTTCATCGGATTACATTTCGTCGAGACTTGAGCGACCGCGGGCTGGGCAAGCGATGCCAGCACCGCCAGTGCCGAAAGAGTGTATTGAGACAGCATTGTAAGGGAGTGTGGATGGAAAATGATCCAATTGGACTTCCGCAAGGACGAACGGTTGTCGAAATGAGCGTTTCGTGACGTTTGCGACACGTTCAGTAACGTCAGAAGTCTGCAGAACACGGCGCGCCAGCGGTGAGGTCTTCTTTATAACAAGAGAGTGACAGTAGTGAGAGACAAGGAGTATGTGTTGTCTGAGACGGACGGATTCACCAGGCTCAACGTCGCAGACACAGACCGGGCTGTTGGAACAGAGGGAGAGAAAGTTAACCTCTGGTGGAATGTCGAAAGGAATGGCGATGGTGGGGTTCAAAATCCAAGAATTCAAAAGCTGGGAATGAGTGTGGATATGGGTGTTGGTGTTCGCTATTCAGATGGGGGCAAATGGCACGCATGGGAAGAAGCCGAAAGCACAGACTCGGGAATTGAGTTAGGGACTCAATCAAACAGAGAGCAATGATAGGAGGCAACCTCATCTCAACGTGGGCAAAGCGGAGAGACAGATGCAAGACAAGCCAGGGGATGCCGGGCGCGTGGCAAGCAGCATGTTGATTAAAGGGGGTGCCAATGTCTCTTTCTCCTCTTTGGGTTCTTGGAGTCGCATCTGCAACGGGCAGCGTTTCCGCACCAGCGCCAACCAGGATTAGCGTTACAACTATCGGTCGAACCAGAGGCGAGCAGCATTCTAGGGCCCGGTTCGTTGTGGCACCGGTAGAGCAAGGTTATCAGAAAGGAAATTATTCGACATTCGCCAAACGGTCAAGCGACCGACTGGGAAACTCTCAAGATTATCCCGAGATTGTTGGTGGGCCTGCCGGAGGAGAAATGGCACCTTGGGCCGGGGGAAACGGCTGTGGAGATCTGGTGAACAGCGTCATGGGCGGTTGGAAAAGCGATCAAGTATGAGGCATTGCGAAGAAACTGCGGTCCGCGTTTGCGTGCGCTTCCGGGCACTCTCTTGAGTCGTGATCCTCAAGCAAGCGGTTGCGCGCATCGAAGGCCTGTTGGTAGTTCAAAGGTCATTATATGGATGGCCATGTGAATACCCATCTTAGGTGATACCAAAGAGGGCCCGCTTTAGGAGTCGGCGATCACACCGCCGTCACGTAAATCTTAAGGCACCTGCCCAAGCTGGAAGCATGAAACAGCATCTGCCAAGCAGCCGGGTACGGCTTGCAGTGGTGTTGTGTGATTTCAAGCCGCATCTGAAAAGATAGTTGCGACTGCAACTGGCAAATGCGCGTTGGAAAGGCGTTAGGTTCCCGATAACCACGACTTTGTCGTCAATTCGATATCCGCGCGGTGAGTGATAGGACTTCCCCAGCTTTCGAGCATCGTTCTCCAAAAATACGACCGAGTTTCGTTGTTGCTAGCATCTTGCCTGTTGATCAATGACAAGAATTGTCGCCCTACACAAGCCAGCTTGCGGGCCAGTCTCGAGACTGCAACGGCGGGTTACTAATGCTTAATTTCAAGAGAGACGCCTGGCCAGATCTGCTGCAGCTGTGATCCGAAGTGATGATGGTTGTAGAGCGATGGAACTCTCATGAGGAGCATAGCCAGGCGTCTAGTGACGACTCAAGATGAGCGAGAGAAGCGCGGTTGAGGAGTAATCGAGGCGGGATTGGCGTTGTGAGCTGTGGTGTCGTCGATTTGGATCTACAGGCTTGAGATCTGGCCTGAGCGACTCGGTCGCTGTGGGTCACTAATGGTAAAGATTTTCATCCGCAAATGAGCAATCGTAGTGTCTTGTTGTTGCTGCGACCCGTTTGGTGGGAAACACTGTAATAGCGTTCGTCGATGTGCTGAGTTGTTTGCGAAACTTCAATCATGGAAGCGTCGAAGGTTTGCGGAAAATGAGTGAGACAAGGAGCATGAGGACAAAGTAAGGTGAGTGAGTAAGGTGGGAAATAAGGTGAACAAAGTGAGATGAGTAAGGCTGCGTGGCTGCTAAGGCAAAGGCAATTCATCGGGTATTCGGCGCATGGCGGGCCCAAGCGTCCGGGTCAGGGCCGGTCGAGAGACCCACATCCTTAAATGACAAAGCAACCGCTAAAACACAAGATTTTCCGCCTTGTTCGGTTACCGCGTGATACAGTGATATATGTACGGCTTGGCTAGACCGATATCGCTCGTCAACCTATGTCAAGCCACAACGAGACATTTTCTGAATCACACTATCACTCGATGTCCTCACTCGCGTCAAGAAGCTGCAGTAACGAGACTCTAGCTCATCAATGATCCAAGACTCCGGAGGTTGACTTAAAGACATGCTCTTTCTTAGTATGCACAATGCCAACACCAATTTCGGCAATCTATCCGTGCAAAAACCCACATCGTCCCCGAACTTCACCAAACAAACGTGATTCTCGGCGGCCCAGTCCGCTCCCGATTACGCGGCGGTGGATTCCCTCAAGAATGGACGCTTACCCGAGACGTAATAGTGGTGCAAACCGCCCTGCAACGACATGCTTAGATGCGATAACGCAATCCCAACCCCAGACAAGGTCTGCGGGATGAGCCCATGAAAATTTCAGCTGTTGTTTGTTCAAATACTGGGCCGACTCCTGGCTTCTCACTGAGTCATCTCCCTGTCTAACCTCGAATTCACCCTTCACTCAACGTTCGCAAAGCCATCAAAGCAGCCGACATGAGCGCGCAAAGTGATCTGCAAGTCGCAGACTCGTCTGACACCGATGCCGGAAATGAACAACCAAGGAACGAAGCTCAGCGGCGCAGCTTCGGTGACTGGCTCCGTGATGATGTCAACATCCGCTATACCGATATCCCAGTCCTCGCTTGCTGTCTGGTGTCCGGCTTGTGCGACAGTGTAGCAGTGAACGCAGCTGGTGTCTTCGTCAGTATGCAAACAGGTAAGAGCCTAGCTATCAGGCAGGGGAAGCGACATGTGATACTGACCTGTTCAAAGGAAACACCATCTTCATGGCTCTTGGCGCCTCGAAGCTTCCGGCTGGCGAGCCACTCCTCTGGCTCAAGTCCCTCAGCTCCATCGCCGCGTTCTGGCTTGGGTGCTTCTTCTTCTCCAAGTCGAGACACATCCATCCCAAGCGCAGAAGCACTCTCGCCCTGTCGTTCCTTCTCCAGTCGGCTCTCGTCTTCCTTGCCTCCGCCTTTGCTCAGACACGTCTCATCGCCGACTTTGGGAAAGCCTCGGTGCAAGGCTCCGACTCGAATCACGAATTCAAGACCTCTGAAAACCCTCTTGTGATGGTCCCCCTTGCGCTTCTGGCCTTCCAGTTTGGCGGACAGATTGTGACGAGTAGGATTTTAGGATTCAACGAAGTTCCTACCAACGTCCTGACCAGCGTCTACTGCGATCTCCTCTCCGACCCAAAGCTCTTTGCACCCCTAAAGGAGAACCCCAAGAGGAACAGGAGGTTCTTGGCCGTCGTTTTGCTTGTTCTTGGAGGTATTATTGGTGGCTGGCTGCAGAGAAGTCGGGCTGGCATGCCTGGAGCTCTTTGGATCTCTGGAGGAGTTAAGTTCATCATTGCCGTCGCCTGGATGGGCTGGGCCAGCAATGAGCCGGCTGAGAGCAAGCTGGAGAAGGGCGTTAAGTCATAATTTAGATACCCGTCTAAGCCATAGACTGTTAGCAGAATAGATTCCTCCCTCGTGGGAAAGTCTCATTGTAGAATGCGAGCGCTTCTGGTGGGATATATGATGGTAAGTCTCGTGTTTTTGCGTGTCCCTCAAGGGCTAGCCCGACCATTCAACTGAGAGTAGTCAGTGTAGTTGTTGGCTCGGACACATCCGTCTCCAGGGAAACTCTCAGGGCTCACTAACTGCCACTCCAAGACTGATTTACGTACATATGTGCACTACTAAAGGTTACGGTTGTTCTAGTGCCGCTCCTATTTGATGTATGCATACAATACGTGACAGCTGTGAACCTTGACCGAAGTATCACGTAACAGCTTTCTCCTAGTCAAATTGGGAATTCGCGTTAGCGAACGAGCTGTTACGCGCCATGTCAGGTTGTAGGGTCTTTTCATCCAACTTGGCAAGATTGATGGGCTTGAGGTCACCATCTAACATTACTAGAGGCAGAGACAAAACTTGACAAGGTTGCTGTCTACTGATGGGTAAACATTTGCCACAGACAGTAGCAGCATCTCGTCAAACTGTTGTGTGGGACGACTGGCTATGTAAGTCGTCTCAGCATATGTCGTACTCCGCTGAGACGATGTGATCCATTGATATCGCTTCAAATCTGCCGATACCAAATCTTCGATATGTAAGGTAGACCAAGCCACCCGCTACGGGCTCTCGACCGTTGTCTTCTGTGACATTTCGGCGCACTCCGGTGCGCCAAACACGGGGTCTTCAATGATACTCTAATGCATGAACAGTCAATCAGACAGCAAGGAACTCTCAACTTGTCCTTGTTTAAACGAAGACTTCCCCACAAGCCATCCCTAATCAAGCCTCATAGGATAGCTTCCATGGCTGACATGCTGCATCGTCCGCTCGGCGCCTGGGTCCAACCAAGAATGGCCCACCCCAGACGTAACCCACATGCCCGGATTCAAGATTCGCGAGAACCACGATCAAGTCTTTTGACCATCTTTCAGGGTCGCTTGGACGCCAGCGCAGGATCCCTACCTACTATCTATTGCTAAACCGTTGTGCTTCTCGGTTTCAGAGTGAAGATTCGCGATAGCAGCCATTGGTAAATCATAGCGCTGTAGGGCAAGCCACAACGTCACGGTCATCCGTAGCAACCATCCATAGTGTCTTGCACCGTTGGGACCGCAACCGAGTCTCGGTCTGTGAACGAGCGCCAGCTCATCAAACTAATGGGCACACGACCGTCACACACGCCGTTAGCCGAATTCTGGTGCTTCCGCCATCTCGTCACCAAGAATGGCCCCTTGCATCGCAGCACAGCCTCCTTGGCGTCTAGAGGCTAGATTAAACGCGCCGTCCTACTGAAGATATGAGATGTCATAATCGAGATTGTCCTCCCCTGTCGACTTTGCATCACTCTATTCATTACCAAACAGATCAGGGCCTGGGGGAACGGAAGGGCAAGACATTTCTGAACAAGACCCTGCGTGACCTGAACGAAAGAATCTAGGGGTCCTTCCACAAGAGGCTAGCCCGTCGTCATCATTAGCCTCTCATTGGTTGATTGGCCATACCTCGACCCCTGCACTGCAGCCTTCCCTTGCCAGCTTTTGACGTCACCGAGGACGGTGATCTTGGAGCGCAGATCACCGACAAACAGGTTTGGAGTCGCACGGCACCCAACCACCAAACCCGCCAAATGGCGTCTCAATCGGATCTAACAGCTAGTTGTCCTTCGAGGAACAGGAATGAGTGACGGACGGAGGGCATCCAAATGACCATCTTGGCATCATTGTGCAGCATCAATCATGCCAGCCTGCCAACAATGTCTGCAGCCAGGGTCTCGGCACGGGCGTCCGCCCAAACGACGTACCTTGCGGTGAGCTGTAACAGCAGTAGGATTGCCATAATGTCATGGATGAGGATGAGGAAGAGGGAGGATCAGGGGAAAGGTTATGAGAAAGGAGGAGAGATAGATATAACCTCCATGCTCCTCCCGCCCAGAGTCTTGTGTTCCGTCTTATCCAGCATCCTAAGCCTTCATAAACAGAAGCACCCACACCACCATCCACACTCTACAACCTTATAGGCGAAAACAAGCCTTTCGCCAAATCATCCTAGCAAATTATATTCCTTCCATCACAAAACCTCTATATTCTCAAAATGCCATTCTTCGGAGGCGGCCGTCGCGAACCCTCTCCCGAACCAGTTCGGGAGCTGACCCCACCACCCTCAGAGCCCCGCCGCACCGGCTTCTTTGGCTCTCGCCGGGACCCTTCCCCGGAGCCAGTCCACCACCAACCCGTCGCCGAGCCCGCGCCCCGCAAGCACGGCCTCTTCGGCTCCTCTCGCCGTGACCCTTCCCCCACGCCGACAGCTCGCACATCCCGCACCTCCGCGACCTCCCACTCCTCTTTGTCGTCAACTACCTACCACACCTCCCCTGATGGCCACCACACCGGCGGAGGCGGCCTCTTCCGCCGCTCCACCGACGCGTCGTCCGGTCGCCGGGGCGGTCTCCTGCACAAGTTTGGCGGCGGAGGCGTAGAAATGGACCCCAGCATCGTGCAGGCTCGTGAGCGCGTCATGGGCGCCGAGGCGGCTGAGAAGGAGGCTGACCGCGCGCTCATGGCTGCGCGGGAGAGCGTTGCTGCTGCGAGGGCTGATGTGCGAAGGCTTGAGGAGGAGGCCAAGGAGGAGGCCAGACGGGCCAAGATCAAGCAGTACCATGCCCGCGAGGTTTCCAAGCGTGGCAAGGCTTTGGGACGTCACGGAGATTAAAGTCACGAACGTGAGTGGTGCGGTTGAGAGAAACCCAGCAGTATTTCTTTTGTATTTATGAGTTCATGATCTGTATCATGGCGAACGTCGAACAATACGGAGTTGGAAGAGCGGCACAAAAGATTTCACACGATGTATTACTACTATAACACGCATGAGCGACGGTTCGGAAACGCAAACATTACCTATATAACAAGTCGAGAAATGAACTATTTGACGAACACAAGATCAATGCTTGTGACGCAAGGATATTGATGCCGCAATTTTCATGAAAGCGTTCTTGAGGTCCTACAGAGAGCTTCGTCAAATTAGGAAGACAAAACTTGGCCGACAGGAAAAGGTCTGAGGCATGTCTGACAGTGCTGACAAGCTGACAAGACCCCTCCATGATCTGCCCGCCGTTCTCCAGTTCTCCAGTCCGACTGCAACCGGAGAATCTACTCAGCTCCGAAAGAGTCAGCACGGATCGGGGGTGTTCCCGGAACATCCCCTCGCAAATTCTCAGCCTTGACACCCGGCCGACACCACTCATTCCTCCCCTCATCCTCTGGCTCTAACCGGAGCGGACACGAGAATCTGCAGCGTCAGATTCCTTGCTGCCCTAGCGATTAGGTTCTCGGAAGTTTCTTACTCAAGGTGACGATCCGTGACGCGAAGCTTTTTAATAGATTGACCGCAACTCCGAGTCCGGTTCATTGCAAGTAAGGTGGTGGTGGTGGTGGTGGTGGTTGAGGGGTTTACTGATTTCCAAGACTTTGAGCATAGTGACAGAGTTCATTAGGGGTCATCTATCTAGTGACAACCTTTCTCGCTTGCTTGAGAATAGGCAAATGGAAAAAAAGGCCAGAACCCAATTGACTGCTGCTGCTGAGCTTTCATCCGAGATTTCTAGTACCCTGATCCAATACCTCATGCCATCCACCTGCCACCTGCTGAGCACGCCGTTCCTCCGGCCGTGCTGTCCTTCTGCGGATGCGCTGAAGACCGAAAGCGACAAAGGGAATGAAACCTGATCCTCCAACCCTGTATGTGCATTGTGAAGTGAAACGGGTATTTACATTTTTGGCTCAAAAGTGGTCAGTGCCCAAAGGTATCAAGAACTCATGTCGGCGACACAATCCGTAGATAGCCGCCGAAGTGAAAGGGAAAAAGGTCGCGTCTGCCCAAGGAGCTGGGCGGGCTGTAATAAAAGACATAGGTTAAAGGCCGAGATGCAAGTCGAGGTTGGAAGGTCCAATCCGTAGGAACGCCGACGCCTTCCAAGTGCCAAACACTGAAAAAATGGAATTCGAATCCGTCCGAAACAAGGGCCGCTCGTTTGATCGTGGTCGTAAGAAGATGAAGAACGATCATGGCAAGAAATGGATGCACCACGGTGTTGTTTCTCACATAATGATGCACTGAGACTCTTCGCGATCCTTCTTGACACTGAGGGCGACGCGAGCGGCCTCGGTGAAGGCCTCGTTGACACCGCGGTTGCGCATGGCAGAGCACTCGAGGTAGCGGAGGGCATTGATGCGGCGAGCGACCTCCAAACCCTGCTCGTAAGAGATCATGGGACGCTTCTCTCGCTGCTGGCCCTCGGCGGCCTCCTCCTCCTCATTATCGGCCTCGCGGAGATCGCACTTGAGGGCGACGAGAACCAACTTCACGCCGGGACAGTTGTCGGCGATCTCTCCAACCCACTTGCTCTCGACGTTCTCGAGGGAGTCCTTGCTGTCGACGCTGTAGCAGAGCATGATGAGGTCGGTATCGTCTGCGCCTAATTAGCAAGCGACTTCTTAATTCACCCAATATTAGAATCCCGTACCGTAAGACAAGCTGCGGAGTCGGTCGAACTCTTCCTGGCCAGCGGTATCCCAGAGGGAAAGCTCGATGTGGACACTGTCGACGAAGATGTCTAGCAATCTCAGGTCAGTTTTCAAATCGGCAGAGGGAGGATCGCGACGGAGGCATCTTCCGACTTGCCGCCTTTCGCTGGGAATCGAGGCATCGTACCATGGACGTAGTTCTCGAATACAGTGGGCTCGTAGACGGTCGGGAAGTAGCTGGGTCAAGTCAGCAAGAGATGCGCAATTGGAAACCCGGAAAAGGCCGGGCCCTAAGGCTTAAGGGTTGAAGGAGATAGTATTGGCATTACCCTCTGGTAAAGACGTTCAACAACGATGTCTTGCCGCACGCGCCATCGCCACTGCAGGTCGCAAGTCAATTAG